TGGTACATGGCCTCCAGTCTGATACAACTTGCAGATTGTAAGCAAGTTAGAAGCTTGACCATATAAAAAGTACAAACATGCAGTTACACAATGCATTAGCATTGGCTGCCAGGGAACTCGAAGCTTCCTTGGGCCTAAAGTAGTGTTGCAAAAAATACTTGCTACCATATGGTGGTTAAAATGTCCGTGCTATACTTCTAGTGCTTTCTGAAGCAATGTGCTTCCCTCAGCTGTTTATTGTATTTACTATGTCTGATATTAAAATTTGTTTTCTAAGGTGAAATATTTAAATGTGACAATAAAAACTAAAACAAAACAAATTTGTAAAGGGGGAAATGCATTTTTAGAGCTATAATTCAATAAAGCTCTAGGTTGGAGACGCCTTTGACAAGATCTATTGTAAAGTCAAAGCTGAAGTGGAAGTGCTGTCAGAGCTGAACTTTGGACCAGATAAACCTATATATAAAAGAAAACAAAACTCAAAGTCCTTCATAGCGACCATGTCCAATTTAAAAAGACTTGTTTTGTTTCCTGGAAAGAGATGAAATCTTTACTGACTCGTTTGTTTGAATCCCTGTCTAACAAAGACCTTGGAATGCAACGCGTTTAAAAATCATCTGCTTGTAAGAAAACCTGCCAGGATTTACTTTGGTTGACTCTTGACTTGGAGACAACTCCACTATCCTGACACACATAACCACATCCAGATGAAGGCTGGCTTTAGTGATGCTTAAAGCCAGCATCACTAAAACCACGTTTTACTTCCACTAAAAACAGAACCATTTTTATTAGCCCATGACAAAGCCACCCATAGAGAGAGGATGAAAAACAAATCTGTGGTTCTCCCTCATTGAAGAAGCAAATCTAAGACTCGAAAGCTGACTCAGTGGTTATTAAAAATAATATTCAGGCATATAGGAGCTGGCAGCATTTTACCTGAACTACAGTCACATGGGCTCTTGGGTTCTTTTGACACCAGCTACGCCTCGTTTCCATGGGTTCACACTTAAGGTTGAATTTTTAAATCCGGAGGGAAGGTCTGGCAATTAGAAATATTATTCAGGGACAAATTCCATTCCATATCCTTCTTGCATGTATACTCCTGTCAAACAAATGAGGAGTATCTTTATGGGTTGTTAAAGTCGAGTCTCGTGGCTCCAGTTATTTCAGAGAAACAAATGTGCTGGGCCTTCTTATGCTTAGTCCAGATTTTAGGTAGAACAGGACTGGAGTTTGACACATGTGTGCTACAAGCACAAACTTAAGTTTATTTCATTCCAATTTCATTTGAGAAGACCAAAGAAGTATAGTAGTTGGGTTGATATTCTAACACCTCCAAACATGCTCTATTGAATTGTTATCTGATGTCTGTGGAAGCCACATATTGAACTCATTTTCATCTTCATGTTGCCCACAACCATGGTCATGTTGACACAAGAAGATGAAAACAACATTCAATAGGGAATAAAAAGCCCAAAGTAAACATCTATTACAGCATTAGAACTATCACCTGCTGATACAAGGCTGGATGGATCCATACCTTCATGTTGTTTCCTCCAAACTCTGACCCAATCATTTGAAGGTTGGAGTGAAAATCAAACCAGGCAATATAATTCCTACATGTTGTCCAACTTTACCAAATTGTAGCCTTGGTTTTCTGCTGGTAACTGGTATGGATATATGATTTTGTGTTTTTTTTTCTATCTCTTATCTGATTGCATGCATGCACATAAACACACATGCTAAGCTAAGGAAATGACTTCAGATGGGAGCTTAGCGAGAGACCTAGAAAAGGAGTTGAATATTATTGTTCTGGGACACTCTGTGCTTGTCCCTTCAGGACTCTTAACAGTCGTCCAGTGCTGAAACTGTGAACTATTTACCTGTTTTTTCTACACATTGTTGCTACTTGACTTTAACAAATTGGACTGATGGACTGAAATTGGACTAACCAATTTATTTGGGACGATCCTTCCCAAATAAAAGAAAAAGAACCCACATGGAGCGTAACAATTAACATTAGGTACACACACACACGTTGTGCTTTTCAAACCGTTCTGCTTGAGCAAGAGAGATGGCTGTGTGTAGAAATACAACCTGATCAGCAATTTCTGAAATTCCCAGACTGGCCCGATTTGATCCGCAACCATGCCACTTTGAAATTCACCACCACCGTGATTCATCGTGGGGATGCTGTGGACGTGGTGATGTGCAATTTTCTTTCTCCATCACACAGAGAATTTACAAACAAGCCAAAAGGTTTTATTTATCTCCTTTCTCACCAGATCATCGTTCATGTTTGTGGTCCTCCCAACAGGGCCTAAGGCATTCAACTTGAGCTCCAAACAGTATATTTTGTGGCTTTCTTCAAAAAATAGCTTTCTTGTTACCACATTTATATAAAGACCATATTTGTCCTGTCAACACATTCTCCCACTTGCAGTGTAGATTCCTGACACTCCTCCAGAGTAACTATTAGTTGGTATGGTAATGCTCTCGATGACTGCCTTTTAGTGCAGATAGAGGACATGTCTTTGAAGGTCAGTAGTTGTACTCTTTCCATTATAGAATAATGGTTTGAACTGTGAAGCTTAAGATATTATTTTATAATCTACCTCTGCTTTAAACTTCTCCACAGCTTTATTCCTGACCTGTTGGGTGTGTTCCTGGGTCTTTATGATGTTCTTTGTTTTGTGAAGATCTCTAACAGAACAGCTCTATTCACACTAAGACGAAATTACTCACATGGGGGTGGCAATTGGGTTTCTTTCATTTTCACCTAATACCCAATAAATCAACAATTTCTGGGAATGAACCCTGAACTGGGATCTTATTGATGAAGTTTGAACATTCCCCAGTGGCCCTGGAAGGATAAGCGGATATACAGAGGATAGATAATAGGAATGTGTTGGAAAGAGTTGCTTTTCAATATAGACTCTTAAATGTGATCTTAAATGACTCCTTGGAATCAAGAAGGATGGTTTTAAATGTTTATGTTTCAAATGGGGAGTAAATATATCACATTCTCCAACCATAACTGCTGCACATGATTGGTCATTCCTTTAAACTGTGGTAGGACGAATGTTTCTTTGTAGCTAACTAGCTGTAAATGAAGACAACAGTGATGATGGTGTGTGATTACACCCTTCGACATCATGGGGCCTAGAGCTGGATTTGTATTTGTAAAGGAAACTAACAACTGTACAGCATGAATTATCATTTCCAACCACAACTACCACACAATTGGTAGTGGCTTTATGCTAAGATCTTTCACATATGTGTATATATATGTCTTTCACATATATGTATATATCTTTCACATATGTGAAAGATATATATACTTTTTTTTCTTTTTTGGGTAAATGTATTTTAGATGTATAATATCATGTTTTAAAAAATTATATTGCTGTAATTTACTTGATCGATTAATACGAATTTCAAGAAGCCTCCACTTATGACTTTCTAGTTTTGCTTGGGTATTTCAGTATGTTGTGATACAGATGCCAAATTGTGTTAACTTCAGGCCCCTGGGAGTAGATGAGTTACTACATTTATTTTCTACAATGCAAAATCAAGGTGATGGCAAGAGTGCTGTCACCTCCCAACCTGTCAACTGACTGGTTGGGAGTTATGTTAGAAAAAATGTGTTACTTTTGTCCTTCTGTCATAAACATAAATGTGTGAAGTTTACCAAACTCTGCAAAGTCTTTAACTGGAACTGTCTGCTTTAGTCAGAATAGACAGAGATTTAACTTTGACATGGCAGACATTTTGGTCTGCCATAAAATTTATTTGCATGTAGAAAAACACATTCACACCACATTAAACACCAGAGACTGTACATGAATGTGGTATTTTGCTATAGCAATAAAAGACTAATTTATTTATGGACTTTTTACTCGTCTTTACCAGACATGCAATTAAATGTGGCTGGTCACCAATGTAAAAGGACCCTGCTGTGTTTGACACAATTCATCGGGCAAACTAAAGAGCTGTTTCATTTGCGCTGATCTGTAAAAAAAGCTCATAAAACGTGGCCGTCGCTCACTGTGTCAAACTGTTATGTTTAATGATGTGATCCTCTCTTTATTCAACTCCAAGTTGTGCCACAATATGCTGACCACAGGAGTGTTCAGCTGTTCGACACTTCTCTTTATTTCCATCATTTACTATTTCCTGTGTGAAAGTGGGCACTTCATGTTTGCTTTGGCTGAAAATAGAGAGTAATGGTAAGAGAGGGAGAGAGCCAGTTTCTCCTTTTCAGCTTGCCTCTTTTGGCTCAGATCACCTTTTCCTGCCTCCATCTCTCCTTCACTCTACCTTTCACCACCTGTTTATGGTTTTATTGCTATATGGCTGTTCTGCCACAAATCTGCTGCAGATTTATCACAGCTTAAGAAAGGCAAAATCTGCTGAGATGGCTAAAAATTGAGTGAGTTTATGATGCACATCCTGTAAATTTGTTTGTCTCATTTGTCTGTTGAGTTGGGTTTTCCACCTCGCGGCCATGTGACATGCGCAGAATCTAGTCTGTGTAGGAGGAGCTGCTGCTTAAAATGTTTTTTTTTCTTGCTAATGTGGGAATACAGCTTCAGTCCTAAAGGAGAAAAATGGTTGTTTTATTGTACATATGGTAGATCTACATAAAATTCAGATAAAAGGCTATACTACTCTGTTTGTTTGAGTGAATGGTAGCTTACTGAAACCATTTTGGATCCTTGACCACCTGTTTGCACAGTTTGCTGGTTTTCCTCCTGATTATGGAGTGCTGATGTTAACTGTTCTGTTTTACTACATCCAGCTTTCCTGTAATTTGCTACAATTGATGTGGCACATAAAATTCACACCCTAAAGAGGAGGAAAATAAGGCACTGGCTTGTTCGCACATCCTGTAAATCCTAAATTATTTTAAGCATGGTTTTGTGTTTCATCTTATTGAACTTTCTTCTGTAATAACTACCACTTAACCCTTCCTTGTCCTCCTCCTCTCTGCTCCATAGAGCCTTGGGTGCGATGAATATCTTGGATCTGGAAAGGTGGTTGACAAATGCGGCGTGTGCGGCGGTGATAACTCAACCTGCAGGCTGGTCTCAGGACTGTTCAAACACAGCTTGTCCAAGATTGGCTACCACAAGATCGTGGAGATCCCAGAGGGAGCCACGAGGATCAACGTGACGGAGATGGTGAAGAGCAGAAACTACTTGGGTGGGCAACGGAAACAGACCTTGATGACAATGCAGAAGATTCTCAACTTTGTGGAATAGTATTAGTGTCTGTGGTTTTGCTTTGCATGTTTACTTTCGTCTGTACACCTGAAAGCTGAGGAGCTAGACTTTCTTATCATCTCTTAAAGTGGTACTGAGCAATTATTTTCTGCTCTCTTTGTTGGATTTTAGCTGGTTTTTCATTATTCTTTAGTCCAGTCATTGTATTTTAACATCATATCATCCAGATATGATATGATGTGGTGGACATAAGAAGGAGTACAGCTGCTAGAATATTTAAACTTTTAGTAGATGAATAGTAGAGGAAACATCAAGCGAAGAATGAACCTTAGAGGCATGTTGTGCTTAAATTCATCAAATGTTGGGTGAGCTTTCAGTGTATATTTGTGCATATGGCACTTGTTCATTGCTGGAGGTTAAGAGTCTGTGGGCTCCTACAGACTCTTAACCTCTTAAACTGATGCAACTATTGGCATTGCTGCCATTCAGCAAGAGGTTCCTGGGTTTGAATCTCAAACTGGGGTCTCTCTGCATGGGGTATTTTTACCTGGGTTCTCTCTGATTCTCTATCTTTCTTCAGCTGTCTGAAACATGCATGTCAGGTTGATGGATTCTCTGGATTGCTTGCAAAAATGAAGGCATGCTTATTTCCACTATGTTTCTCTGTGTTTCCCTCAGATGGGTAGGTGCCCTGTCCACGGACAGCTGGCGAAAGCGACACTGTAAAAGATGAACAATTATAGACAATGGATGGATGTCTATAATGGCCGTCACTGAAACTTCTTAAATAGAGAAGTTTGAGTATCTGCTTGTTTTATTAAGAGCATGGCATTTTAAGTCATTATAGGCACATTTTTACAACAGTACAATGGTCCTTGAATACTTACAGTGTAGTTTACCAACTGAAGATTTAAATCCAATCATTCAGTTAACAAGAATGAGCAGCTATATTCAGTATTTTGACAAATACTTCAAGTTGGAAACAGCATAGTTGGAGTTCTCATTCATTCTAAATGCACGCTTTGTTTCCCTCCAAATAGAGCATTTAATTTTCCACCCTGCTTTACAGTTTTTGGCTGTCGTCTAATTCAGTTCTTTCCTTTATTTTACTCCTGGTCATATGTAGAAAAAAATTGAAATCTATCTCCTGCACATACTATTATGACAGCAGTGAAAATAAACCTCATGAGGAGTGATGACACAGACCATTAATCATAAATGTAACATTTTTAAAATTTAGATGACGTGATAAGTTATGGAAAGGCCTGTAGAAAATTTTCACAGAATGAAAAACTTGAGACAAAGTGCCACAAGTTCACAATATTTACGCAAACGTTAACAAACAAAATTTTATAGCATATTTCAACACAGTCAGCAACAATTATTCCTGCTACTGCTAGAATTAGAAAATATGTGGTTACTTACAGTTGCATAGCATTATCCATGTGATTTGTTTATTTAATTTTGATACAATTTGATTGTGTTGTTCTGCTCTCTAAATAGCAACACCAGCAAAATAAGCTAATATCAGCTGCTTAGTTAGTCAGGCTATCTGTTGTGGTAGTAAGGCTGTGGTCTTAACTTCTCCTCTGTAGTTTCAAACAATGTTACCTTAATAACAATGCTTAAACACTGTGTTTTTCATGAAGGGCTATTATTGCTTGATATATACTTCCAAACAGACAAAAAAGTCTCTCTTGTAAGAAAAGTGTAACTTGTGGAAACATTTCTTCAGACAAATGACTTGTAGCTGAAAAAAGATGGCTGTCACTTCAGCATTTAAAATAAATCTGAAATCATCTACAATCTCCACACTAAGTCCTATTTTCTCCCTTCTCTGTCTCTGTCGCTGTTTCTCTTGGTCTGACTCTGTTTTACACTGCAGATATCTAACAGTGCTTTTAGTTGTCTAAACACTCTTTTACAAGCTAGTCTAATGTTACACTCCTAATGCTTTTCTAATTGCCTCTTGCATTTAATCCACAAAATCGGCAGAAAATATCCAGGGAGAGTTTGTTATAGGACTTGCATGAAAGATTTTGCGGGCATCAGGAGCCTGTAACAGCAGTCAAGAATATTGGTGTTGAAACACCAAACATTTCCTCAAGCATTTAGCGGTGATTCAGTTTTGAGGTGTATAAACTGAATACTTCACAGTTTCTCCATTCTGTAAAAAACAGTTCAAATGCTTGGATAAAAAACTCAAAATGAATATAACATTAATGTCCATAATTGTACATAAATGTCTGTACAGAATCATATCAATGTCTGTGTGTATGAGAGCTATTTTAAGATGTTTGTGTGCATGTTTCAGACATGCATCTGAAACATCAATAGTTTCAGATGCATGTCTTTTGTTTTCTTCTCAACAAGAGTTTGCTATAATCTTGTCCACATACTTATGGACAAGATTTGTGTGTAATGTTTATTGAGAAGATTGGTTCAAGCGCAGAGTTGTGGTTGGTGATTATATGGTCATTAATTTCTGTCTCTTGCAGCTCTGCGAAGCCGTTCAGGGAGATCCATTATAAATGGAAACTGGGCTATCGACCGACCGGGGAAATATGAGGGTGGAGGTACCATGTTCACCTACCGCAGACCCAATGAGATCAGCAGTACAGCTGGGGAATCCTTTCTTGCTGAGGGCCCCACCAATGAAATTCTGGATGTTTTTGTAAGCAGAAAAATTATAATTTATTCAAAAAAAAAAAAGAAGAAAGTTATCTTCAGTTTAAATGCGGTTTGAGTTTGACTTGAGACCGCAAAAAAGTTGAAAAGCATAACAAAATATTGTGAAGATTTTTTAAGGCTCATCTTCAAAGTCTCCATCACTTTTCTTTTAGATGATCTTTCAACAACCAAACCCTGGAGTTCACTACGAGTACATTCTCCCCTCTGAGAAAGCCGTCAAGCCTCAGCAACCAACACAAACAGCAGAAGGTGAATTACAGCTAACTCTGTAAAGAGAGACACAGAGAAAGAGACACTTCCAGCAGATAACTGAAAGGCTTAATATAGCACAGCCTAGTTTGATTTAAAATAATTGCTGATAATTAATGACACAAAGATTACATGAATACTTACTATGTAATCTACTGATATTAAAGCTCTTAAAAGAAAATGGACCGAGATCGAAAGGTTTAAAAAAAATTGAGATCAGAAATTGGAAATGACAGTTGATGGTGGTGATGTGCAATGCAGTCTGGTATATTTTCTGTTTTGTGCCGCCAAAGAATCTGCGAGAGGACAGGATGAGTATACGCAGCAAATCCACACGCAGCAGGAGAACTTCAACTCTGCAGGTGGGGGGAGATATCACCCACATCTTCCTGACAACCAGGTGCCTGCTGTGGTTCCTCCAAGACGTGACAGGGCGTACAACTGGAAACTGACTGGCACCACTGAATGCAGCGCCTCCTGTGGAAAAGGTTAGGGCGCTCAACTTGGGCATATGGGTTACTGTGTTGAATTTCAAGCAAATGTTAAAGTTTTTGCTTTCATCGTGACTATATCACTGGCCAAATTAGATGTTGTAGCCAATGCAGGAATTTTTGTCAGGTTTCAGAAATTCAATCTTCCGCTGCGTCCACCGGCTGAATCATGTCGAGGTGTCAGATGCTTTTTGTGAAAGCAGCAGCCGCCCAGGTCCACAGGAGGAAGCCTGCAACCTGCAACCCTGCCCAGCATTGTAAGGGAAATCACTTCTTTCTCATTGGCTAATTTCTGGTAATTACTGCTCTTGAAGAACATTGTATTTAAAACATTGTAGCTAAAAAGTAAACTCTGGGTAATAAAAATAATATCTTGGAGTCATTATAATAATGTTGAATATTAATTATTTGAGAGACTTTTGTACCACATGGTTTCAGCTTTCACTATTGAAGTGATGGTTGTTGGTATACATGTTTTGCTGCTGGGAAACTTCTTGTTTTATTTTAGAGTTTTACTTTGATGCAGTGATTGAGTAGTGTTTACTGATGGATGGTAAGTGGCGCCACTTAATAGTTTAATGTTACGTTTCAATGATTTGCTATTATAATAATTTGGGGAGTTTTACAGAACCAAGTCCATTCTTCGGTTTGCTATTTCAGAACTTGTGTATCTTGCAAAGCCTGTACTTTCCGATACAGTCATCCTGAACATTCAGTTTTGTTTTGAATCTGAATATTAGAACTTTGACTAGCGAGACACATGTCTAGAAAAATACATATTTTATGCAGTATTACTAACATTAGGCTTTCATTGGATTTCAGTTGGGACATCGGAGAGTGGTCGGAGTGCAGCAAGACCTGTGGACTGGGCATGCAGCACCGGCAGGTTCTGTGCCGCCAAGTCTATGCCAACCGCACCCTCAACGTCCACTTGAGCCACTGTCAACACCTCGAGCGACCCGAAACGGCCAGTACCTGCCAGCTCAAGATCTGCAGTGAGTGGCAGATTCGCTCTGAGTGGACATCTGTGAGTGAAAACAGTTCGGTGGAATGACTCAGACATAAATTATTCATCCAATGACTTTAAGCTTTCAAAAATTATTCCTGCAAAGAAGATTACTTTTTATAAGTTTACTTTTATGACTACATTTAATAAATCAGCTTAGTGTTTTAACATTGCTATCTTGTCAGTTTATTAATTGGTCTAGTGAATGAAACAATTAAGAGGCAACAGTCCCTGTTGTAACCAAGCAGTCTGTGTCTCCACAGTGTTCGGTGCCATGCGGGGTGGGTCAGAGGTCAAGAGAGGTGCGCTGTGTCAGCAACGTGGGTGACTTCGTTCCTGATGAGGAGTGCAACATGAACCTGCGACCCAGCAATGTAGAGAACTGCGACATGGGAACCTGTGCCAAGAGCTGGTTCTACACTGACTGGGGAAACAGGGTAGGAGAAGAAATAATTAGATGCTATAGAGTTGTTGTTTTTTTTTTTCACTTTTATGAACCTACTGTATACAGCATCCAGGCTTAAGAGGTATTACAGTGTTCAATTTGAATTAACTTTTTTTTTTGTTTTACTTTGAAGTTTTATTGTCAAACTTTTTCATGTTTGAAATGATAAAATACATAAAAAAAAAGGATGACAGAAAAAAAAATCTGAACAAGGCAGCCGAAAGTCTGCATCTTCAGTTTGAGTTTATGAAATAGAAATGAGTCATTTACCTAGAGAGGAGTGGGAATTTGGGGAAATGCTTTCCCAAAAAAAAAAAAAGCTTTCTGACCTTATAAACATGCGCCCTGTGGAGAGAGTTAAAGGCTCATTTATTGACAGTGGTTTGAGTAATGAAGTCAGGTTCTGCGTTCAGTGCTGACAGACATTAGAGATAATCCTGTCTCCACTGCTTCCTGCAATGCATTGCACATTAATGAGATTTCACAGGAAAGCTTTCCACCAGTTATTTTTTGTGGTTGACAGTGGCTTGTTAATAAAAACAAAAAGCATTAGACAGCCATGCAGATATTCCCCCAGTCTCTCTTTTTTCTATAACATCAAGCCATGTTTTTTGCTTACTGCTTTTACTGCACAACAACAATAATAATAAAAAAATAATAAAACATTGTTCAGATGACACTGTCTGTATCACCACTCAATTTCTTGAAATAGAACTGAAATTTCATTTCTTGCATGCTGCTTGCCCATGTGGTGGAGTGAAAGAACAGAACATACTAATCCTCCTTCATTTGGCTTCTGCATAAAAGAGAGAAAAATGTAGAAGAAACATTAAGAGAAAGTGGCTACAGCTTCACCTAATAAAACAATCTTATTAGATGACTTAAGCTGATAGAGAATCATAAAAAAAAAGTCATGGTAATAGAATGCATTTTACTAAACTAAGCTACTTTATGAACTTTATGTTTATGAACACAATTGGTCAATCAATCAAGTTCATTTGAATATTACATCTCAGCAACAGGGCATTTCAAAGTGCTTAACATCATAAAGACACAGAAATACAAAGTCCGAACACACAGTCAACAACTGAACCATTACATTTGACCTTTTGTCAAGTGCCATCATTGCACATCAGAATATTGATTAATGTTTCATTTCTCATGTTTCAAAAGCAGCTCTGAGCAGGGAGGTTTTCCTTCAGTTTTAAAGGCTCTCAGTAGTATCTCCTTTAACCAAGTTATAAACTGTGTTACTTCTCAACTTTGAGTAATAGGAAACACTTCCAACACACTTTGTTTCTTTTACTATTATTACTTGTCTTCTATGGTTACAAATGTTCATAGTCTTCATATAATTGTATTATTTATATATAAGCATTTATATATCTTTTTTTTTCTTTTAAACTAGGAAGAAAAATATGTCTTTGAACTTAGACTTAGACTTAGACTCGTACTTTTTTGATCCCTTGGGAAGACTCCCTCAGAAAATTGAAGTTACCAGCAGTTTACAGGCAGAAAAGTGGCACACTGTGAGCAAAATACAAAAGAATACAAAAAATACAAATTAAATACAAAGGTACACACTAAATGTGAGTAGCCAGAACCCTAAATTAAGCAAAAATAAGCAAGGAATAAGAATATAATTTAAATATAAATAAAAAATATAAATACAACACAAAAGAAAATATAGGAATTTGGCAGATAGATTGACCAGTGATATGATATTGCACTTTGATGACAAACCTGCTGATTACTACCCCACATTAACTGCAATTCGTTTTCCCCAAAGTGCTCCGCTGAATGTGGGATGGGTGTCCGAACCCGCAGCATTCTTTGCCTGACCAACCACATCGGCAGCCTCCCTCTGGAGGGGTGTGGCAGCGAGCGGCCTGCAGATTCCCAGGTCTGCAACAACGGTCCCTGTGACAATCGAATCGAGTGGTTCACAGGTCCTTGGAGCCAGGTACAAAGAAAGGCAAAAGACTCTAGCAGAAAACATTTGGTGTTTTATGTCTTTTTCTTGTGTCTGTTTATCATTTCTTTATTTAAAATATTGTATGCTGGGGTTTTTTTTAAACCAGTGCTCTGCAGAATGTGGCACAGGCAGTCAGCAGAGGTCAGTGGTGTGCCTGATAAAGTCCGATGAAGGATTTACCACCATGCCACCCTATGAATGCTCATCCTTGGAACGACCACTCAGTCAGCAGAGCTGCAACATTAAGACCTGTGGGGCAAAGTGGTACCACACTGACTGGAGTGCAGTGAGTAAAATTGCAACAAATATATGTATATATATTTACTCTAATTTATTGTAAAGATTTATTTTTTCTATTATTCTTTTTTTTTTTGCAACTGTGTGCTTTATTTACTTTTTTCTGTTGCTGCTCTACACTAGGAATTTCACCTCTGAAATGCAATTAATTATAGGATTCTTGAATTTTGTCCAGCCACTCAAAATCAGTTCATGGGCCACAAATGGCCCCTGGGCCACACGTTGGACACCCCTGCTGTAAAGTGTTCCAGTGTAATGCATATTTTATGCATACAGAATGTGTGCCAGTTGTATAAACTGCACTGATTTATGCCCTTCTCAGTGTTCAAAAACGTGCGAAGGAGGTTTCCGCATTCGGGAGGTGCGCTGTCTGTCAGACGACATGCTGTCCTCTGAGGCCTGTGATGAGCAACTGAGACCAGCGGACAGGGAGGACTGCAGCCCTGAGCCCTGCATACCTCAGATAGGTCAGCCAACTTTTACTACATTGTCTGGAATACCACTGACAGGGGATCAGTATCTCCTGATGATTTCAGCATCCTCCTGAACATATGTTCACTGTAGCGTCTGCAATGTTGAACGTGTTCCACGGAAATTCATTTTCATTTGTTTTTGAAAAAAAGATCTCGACGTGGAAGTTTCCATGATAACTAGTGATTTTTGTTTTCGTTTGCTTCAGACCTGAACTGCAGAGACAAGTACTACAACTGCAACGTGGTGGTCCAGGCTCGCCTCTGCGTTTACGATTATTACAAAACAGCATGCTGTGCATCTTGTTCACGCATTGCACACAAACAGAAAGTACACCGAGGTCGCAGCTAGCACCGACTTCCTGAGGATCCGAATTCACACCCACTAAAGGCTCTCTGACCCTGAGCCTACTTGGACAGATGGACGGACAGGACCTTTTTCAGAAAGGACCCTCGTTAATGTTAAGAGGGATGAAAACCTGAGAAGGACCATTTGTGTTGGATCTTTTACGGGTTGCTGTTGGGGAACAAAAAAGGCTATGAATCATGTGTGACATGAATCCACGTGCTGGAAAGAAGGAACGTTATCCGGATCAACGAGAGCCACAACAAACAGAGGAATCAGAAAAACTTGTTGGGTTCTCGTTCTTCAGTTTGTGATGAAGCGTTTACAGCTGGCTCTTGTGCATCACTTTGTCCAGAGGAGACTGCCAGAAAACCCTCTGTGGAGGATATATTCTAGCAAAGTGGAAACTGTCCAGCATATAATAAGCGGTTTCACATCCAGCCTCACTAACATGGGCTCATTAAACTGAGCCCGGCACAAAAACATTCCTTTCATAAACAAATTCTGTGCATTAAACCCTCCATGGGACTAACGACGTGTCCGTTCCTACACTGCCCCGAGATGTAAAAGCAGCTTTTGTAATATAATTATCTGTATATATGTTTATGTATAACAGTTTGATAAATGTTTAGTTTTTTTAATGGTTCTCTGACTCTCCCACATAACCTAAAAGGAGGGGGGAGTCCTCTTTATTTATGTATGTGACTCTCCAGGGTGGATGCTACTTTATCGGCCACCGGTGGCTTCTTTTCAGCTGTTCTGCCTCTAATCCAATCACAGCCTCCGAACCGGACGTGGGCGTCCCACAGCCTGCTGGATGGCAGAACCAGATGCTGCAGACACTGGTGATTTTTGATAAGTTGAAAACATGACTTTCTGTTTTCTTTTCTTCCCTGTGGGTCATGATCACTCCACAACTGATCAATCCTTGACACACAACTTTTACAATATTATTAATGCTTTATATAGCTGTATTGTACACATGGCTTGATTTGATATCTCTGTGGTTCATAAATTCCCGTTGATTATTTAGCCCTTTTTACCATGACAATGTTGTTTATAAACTTTCTCATGTAGTACCTCACAAGTGTTGAGCATTGTTATTACTAATCCCCTCTCAATTTAAGTCTGGCTACTGATTAGAGGTATTTCAGTAGTTGAGATTATAATTCAGACATTACACACAATTTCAGGCCTTCATTTCTGTTAATGACACCCAAAACAGGTTTGTCTGCATTTTGGATCATCTTCAGCTTGACAATACTCCACTGATTCTTTATTGGGTTTTGGTCAGAAATGCTGTTATTAAATCATATATCTGCACTTCTGTCAGATATCTGATTTAGATATCTGACAGAAGATATCTGCACTTCTGTCAGATATGTTCATTTCCTTTCTAAGAAAGGAAATGAACATTTCTCTAAAAATTGTCGAGAAAATGCTGAACAGCTGCACTGACTTCGGACTCGATGAAACACAGTGGACCAAAACCAGTGAACTCCAGACACGACTCTTTAAATCTTCATTAACTTTACACTGAACCCTAATCAACTTATTCTATGCATCTCCATTTTTCCTCTAATCTCTGAAAGCTGAATTTCTATGAAATGCTGAAACTATATTAGTCTGAAAATCTGAAAAGATCATACCTTGATCTTCTGATGTACGTGGTTCCGGATGGGTTAAAGCAAAGAATGTAGCAGCTGTAGTTTATGTCCTGGATATGTCTATGTGTGATGGATCATGAAGCACTGACTCCAGCTGCAGGCCACACTTTGTAAATCAATCCCAACTCTTGAATAATCTTTGTTCATCCAGCCTGGGTGAACTAATTTTATCTCTAAAATAAGCCATGGGAGGATGCAAATTGTTCATTGATCTTCACCTTTAGCCTGTTCGCCGTCTCACCAAAGGAGAAGAGTATGTATGCATCTGTGTGAATCACAGATGTGAAAAGAAAACACAATCTATATTCCCTACTCTTCTTTTTCTTTGTTTACCTTTGAGGATGTTATTTAAATAGACTATGTTTAAAAATGTCAGAGGAATATGTGGTTTTACACTCAAACCTTTCCTGAGAAAATTGCACTTTTCTGATGGTGGTTGTTGGTGGAGTTCACATTTTTGGTTCAGATTTTCCTCATTTTCTACAAACAGACTCTGTTGTTGTTGCCCCAAACAGGTCAGATGTTCAAACTGAGTGATCATCTCCTGCTTAAATTGCAAATTTATTTACCATTTTATAGTTTGACCTGTGTTTTAACCAGTGGCAGATGCAACTTTCTAGTCAATATGTGCTGTCATCTGAAAACAATATCTCCTTTTGAAACATGCTGTTCTCCTTCCATGGCTACACCTTTTCTCAAAAACTTACTACACAATAACTTAAAAAATGAAAACCTCATGGATTAGACATAGTAGAACCTAACACAGTTTACTTAAAGGCAAGTGGAAGAATTGGATTAATATGTAAAAATGCTTCACACATCCATGAAGCTACAGGTTGTTGCATGTTTGTATTCAATATATTTTTTTTCCTAGAGTTGCAGGTCAATTACCATTTGTGGAAAGCCAGTGGGAGTTTGGAGTTTATTGTCAATCAAGAAGAAATTATATGAAATAATTTCTGTTTTTCATTGAAAGCAAAGACTTAATGATATTACTTTAGAGCCATCTAGTGGATTAAGTTTGCACCAACATGCAGGTCTGTGTGAACAATGCTCCAACCTAACATGTTTCATAATTTAGTAAAGATTTGAATATTTTCTATGCAGCTAATCAGAAGGAGCAGAACAATAAACTGAAGTTCTTTAGTCACTGAACTCATTTTTCAAATTTGAATGGCTGTATGTTGAATAATAAATGTTGATAGCATGTTATGTCAAACTCTACTGGAATTCCTTCTTAGTTTTGACCAAAAAATACATACATTCTTGAGTGGAATCAGTTGTTGTTTCATGTTGTAGCAAGAAAATATGTTAATTCAGGTCCCTTTTTATGCCAAGGTCTGTCTTTAGAAGGTGGAACGCTTAAGCAGTGAACAAACATGAACAGAAGCTTTTGTTTTCAGTCTTGGTAAACTTTCCTAACTGTTTTTTGTTTCTTTTTTCGTTCACAATCTTAATCCAAGCTTCACTTATTTTTGGTTGCATGCTATACAATAGCAGATGCCCAAATGGGTTGAAAAGTTATTAACATGTAATTAAATTTTCTCCTATTAGTAGGCTTTTGAGGTTTGTATCTATCAGCTTTCCAAAGTAGCTTGAATTCAGTCAGACTGGTTGGAGACGGTTTGTGAAAAGTTGTGGCATTCCCACACATGCATTTGCTTTTAATCTCAACTATAAAATTTTAACACTTTGTTTTGGTTTGTCATGTGGAAAGAGAAACCACCACTGCAGTTCTGTGTCTTTTGCAGCTTTTAACGGGTTTTCTTTCAGTAATTGGTGATATTTAGTTTCATCCAAATTACCGTAAATCCTGAAACGCTTCCATGTGTCTGATGAAAAATAGCATTCCAGCAACATGCTGTTGGTGTGTTAGGTGCCTCTAAAGTGGTACTTTTGTTTGTTTTTTTAAGGTTCCCCATAAGTTTCTACTATTCTTCCCAGGGTGCATGCATAACATTGTAATAAAATCATGCTGTTTAAAAAAACAACAATAATAAAATACCTTTTTATAGGATGGTTTTAATCTGTAATGGATATAATTACAGAAGCCAGTATTCCAGTAATAACACCAGTGTTTTTTTTTTTTTTTTTGTTTTTTCGAAGGGTGTTAGATTGAGGCAGAAGTAATATAAAAGTAACAATAGATGCTTATCTAATATTAACAAGATATTTACTGTTTGTAGACTAAAATAATACTTTCTACTCAAACTACAAGCAGGCCTTCTTTCAAAAAAAGTTGTCCTCTTGCCACTCATGCAGTACCCAAACTAAAATGGATTCCTGATTGTGGAAAAGAGCAGCAACATGAAACAGAGCACACAATTTCCAGTGTTTCTGATAAAAAAATCTTCTGTTTTAAACAATTACTTAGAACTAACCCCCCAAAAAAAAGTTGATCTGCAGAATGTCATCAAACTTTATCTGTAAGTCTGTGTAACTTCATCAGTGCTGCAGCTGGCAGTGTACAAAGCCCTTTGAGGTTATAACTTACACCCCTGTCCAAGTAGCATGGCTTCCAGGCAGCTTTGGAACAAAAAGAATGGATTTCCAAATTTCCACATCTATGGCTCTGCAACAGTCAGACTTAGTCACTCCAAATGCCAAGTGGAAGAAAGACTCTTGCACCAAAGTAACAATATTACACTCTCTAACACACAGCAGGGAAATAGAAGATGGATGCAATCTGAGATTCAGCAATAATCAAAACTTAAACCAGAAGAAAAAGGACAATAATCTCACTGTTTGGGTTTGGAATTGAGTCTTTATAAATAACCACAGACAGCCACAAGGCTGAATAGAACATGAATGTGTGCGCAGTACTGAAGCCTCTGTTCTCCTCCTTTCAACAACACCATTGACTTTGGGACTAAATAAAAGGCAGCTTACACCTTCAGGGTATCATCATCCAGTCAGTAGACGGGCCTGAAATGACACCAGGATGGACTATCTCAGGAGAATCTGAGTGAAACTGCAGCAAAAGTGCTTAATAAAGAATAATTTGCACTATTATTTTCCTTATGTAAAACATGGTTTTGGACACAGCCTAAATGTTTCTTGTTTTCCAGTTGAAATGCCATAAATGATTTCAGCTCGCTAAATACCAGAAGAATGAGAAACAGTCACTGAGTCAAATACACTCAGATTGCTGCACCTTGAAAAATTTAAGAAAGACAATAATATGCTGCTATGGTTCATATGTTTTAATTTCCCTCACAATCTGTATATGAAACGCTGCTTCCCTCTGTGACATAATTGAAAACTCATGATCAAAACAATTAAAAAAACATCAATATATTAGGAATTGTACTGAACTATGTCTCATAGTTCAGTACAATTTCTAAATTTCTGAACATTTCACATTCATCTTTTCAGACACATTGAAGCAAAAATTATTTTAAAATAGATTTTCCAAGCACATACTTCTGTGTATTCTTGCCTTTTCAGAATATTTACTTCAGGAGTTGTTTTATTAGACATTCTCTTTAAATCCCTTCACATTCTACATTTCTGCAGGATATCATGCACAGTATTGTCATTTTGGATCATAGTCAGTAATTCTATACTTGCATAATTGCAGCGATGACAAGAATTGCTTGTCATCACTGCTGATGGCAATTTTATTTTTTCTATTGACTCAAATGCATTTTAACCTCTGAACAAAACCAGGAGCTTGTCAGTGACATTTGATTTTATATTTTATTTTCATGTTTTTTCTTTTTGAAGAAATGTGATGCCTTTCATGGTTAATTTGGTGATAGACATTTTTTCTGTCTTCAGACAAAGTTTTTTTGTGTTATTTGATCCGTGATGTAACAACATGTAAGTTTATAATAAAGCCCAAAAAAGTAACCTGCATGAATGCCAAAATGTGGCATGTTTTCCTTAAATAACATTTATTGAGGTCTGAATTTAGCCAATTGAAATCGAACAAATTCTGGACATAAGAAAACGTTTGCTTTTTTGTTCTTCAAGTTAAAGTATTGCCCACACGCTCCATCTAGTGCAGACAAAACACACACACACATTTAAATCATAGCATTTAAATCTGGAATGTGTGTATCCAAACCAAACCAACAATTAAATCAAATGAAATCCCAAAGTGGTTTTACGCTGTAGAAATGTGCAGCCTCTGAGATGAAAACCGCTCTTGATTTTCACCTCGACTTCACATCTGCAACCTTTAGGGATTACAGAGTTTGCAGCATAACAACCAGCATGTTTAATGAGCCTTGAATGAGCAGGGCACTGTGACCTTTGCCCTCCCATTAAAAGTGGAAAGGGAATCTGTAAGCTAATGATCTGCAGCCTCATATGTTTATATTTCATTTTCAGGCTCTTGGTTTAATCATCAGTTTTTTCTGACATTTTTCCAGAGGGCAACAAGCTGAGGTGACTTTATATGAAGGCTCATTTTTGATGGACTTAAAAGAAAAGTAAAAGTATATTTATGCCACTACGTGAGACATAAAGATGCATCTCGATAAACTAGAATATGACCAAAATGTTCCTTTGTAGTAATGTAATTTGAACAACTGCAATCACAAATATGGACTCAACATAATAAAAGCATTTTTTTTTTTTTTGTGATTTTAATGAGGATGCGTCCTTTGGATTATGCTCGATTGCAGTACTTTGAATAATTGGCTTCTTTAGCAATTACCTTTTGTGGATTATACTGGACAACCATCAGCCCAGCTCTTCCCAGTGACCACCATGTGGACATAGTTGCTTTCGTTTAGTTAATTATTGAGTGTTTTCAGAAGAGTGGCACACACAGGTGCAATTATAATAATGTCGAAAAGTTTGTTTATTTCTGGAATGCAAATAAAAAGTGAAAATCATTGAATGATTACACACATTGTCAATTCTTAACAACATAAATGGTATTTTTTCATATACATTCATGTATGTTTGCTGTCCATCACGTATTGGGAGGAGAATGAGATACAGTCTTTGTAGCTCCTCATTGAAGCAGATTTAACTTCTTATTAATTAACACTTTGCAGAGCCTGTGTAATTTCTAGTCAGCGTGAATAAAGCTTGCAGTAGTGCAGTCACACTATTGCATTTTCTCGTTTAATAATGCAGTGTTATTTGGCTTGACTAAAAATTTTAATTCTCATGTGCATCATAAAATGTGTTTATTTATAAATCTAACACCTTGTACAGTTGCCAAAAAAAAAAAAAACTGATAAATATCGATGTGTCACCAGGATACGGGTGAAGTATGAAAATGAGTGCAAAGTTGTTTCCCAGACAAACTGAAATGTTATTCCTTATAAGAGAAAAGCTCTTAAAGTCCAGTTTTTCTTCTTTGAGATTCTGTCTTAAGATTTAAAGATCATAAGGATAAACACCTTATGATCATTTCGAAAACTCAACTCAATTCAACTGAATTTATTCATGTAGCAAATGATAGCAAATGTCGCTTCAGGCCCTTTTAAAACAGGCAGGGACAATTAATTTCAAAATTATATAATCAAATAATTCTACAGCTCCACAACCATATAAAAAGGTTCAAATTATATTAAGCACATTTGAATTTGATCGTAGTTATAAAACAATGCAGTGAAATTCTGTTTATAGTGTAAGTTGGTAGAAAGTTATTTGTTCTTGGTAATTGTGTGAAGTCAGTGACTTTCCAGGAAAAGGCATGTGGTGAAGGTGGGCAATTAAAGCAACTTAGTTTTTAAATTTGCAGCAATCCTGTTTCTGACTAAAAATGTGTCAGCAGCGGATAGTTGATTCGTGGTGATAATAACGTTAGGAAAGTATTTCCTCCTAAGCAAGCATGTGGGAAGATTAGCTGGTTGATTGCGTCCAATCATTGTCTCTGCAGTAATCCCTCCTCCTGAGCTCACATGTGGTGACAGTGGACGCCTAACTGCACTGAGCCATTAACTTTGTGGCAACTGCTCCTCCTAACCAATTATTGGCAACATTAGACCGTTGAATCAATAGTTTTCCCTGCAATCACTTCTTCTCAGCAAGCGATGACAATAAATGGTTTGTTGCATCCGGTCACTGACTTTGTTCCTGATCCTGAGTAAAAGAAGGAACTGAACAACTCTCTGAGGACTAAGAAACCTCTAACACAAACAGGGGGATTATTAGTGGCAATCTGTTGCAAATTACTTGGGGTAAAAGAGGAAAAAAAGACAAATTAAATGATCACTTTGCTGCTGAGTGCTTGCAAACTAGATAAGCAGGATATTTAACACGTCACCAGCCTTAAATGCTAATTGGAAGTCCAGTTTTGCCAGTGCACAGCTGAGACAATTTGTAATGCATTCAATCTCTAACATTTTGTGACAACCATCTAGTTAACACAACTTTTTCCAAATATCACTGGATTGACAGACTTGTAAAAATATTCTTGTATTCCTAAAACTAACATTTAACTACCAAAAGACACACAAGCTGCTGCAACAGAGTAGAGTAAGTTAATGCAAAGCTACAGACAACCGATTTGTCAGAGACACACATTAGTGTCTGTACTTTCTGCAGGATCACTACCTCTGTAAAAGTCTTCAAGGCCAGGAAGACAGATTATCTTAAACAGGGGGTAGTTGTACCAAGAGTGACATAAACTTGTCTTAGTCGGGTTACTCAAGGCTGCAACACCATCACCTCACAAAGAGACAAAAAAAAAAAAAAAAACTAAGAAAAAAATGTTTGTTGTTGTAAACACTGTGAAGATAAGCTGCTGAGTAGCTTAAATCTAAAGATGAATTGTCTTTGTCATCTATTACTTATTTCCATTTAATTATTTTTTTTATTTTAACGTAATTATAGCTGACAAGTGTTAAGCGTAGAAGTGACTACTACAAAGTAATGATGGTAGAATTACTTAGTCAGAAGCCCTCTGGTAGGAATCGCACCTTTAATTAGTTGGTAGTCTGTCAGCTCTTATTTCATACATT